CGCGGGGCAGAGCGGAGCCGCCGCAGCCCCACGCGCCGCCCAGGACCCACTTGCCACCACTGCCTCCGCAGTACCCATGGGGACCAGGAGACTTTAAAGGAGTTTGGGGTTTCGGGAGCAGGGAAATCACGGGTACGGAAAGGCGGCTTTCTTTGCCTTGGAGACGTTTTCTCTTCGATGGTTTGGACCCTGTGCCCGGTAGGAGGGAGAGGGATTGGGGGGCTGAAAGTGGGCTCCCCACACAATCCACACGCACACCCACACCCACACGCGTACACCGCGCTGGCTTCCCCCTTCCTTCCTTTGCCTCTTTGTTCGGTTATTTTAGACAGAGCAGCCTCACCCTGGCGCAGCCCGATCGACTGTGCTGGGGCGAAGGCGAGAAGTCAGGGGCGGAGTGCACCTGGTGGCCAGATGTGCCCGTGCAGGGGTGCAGGTGCATAGACAGGGTGCTTGCCAGCGTGGGCCTGGGACTGTGTACGGATGTGGGGGTCGGAGTGGGCCATCGCGAAGGTTTGCCTTTGTGTGCTTATGTGGCAACAACGCACCAGGGTACCAGCCTGTGTCTAGACCCCAAGTGTGCAAAATGTTGCTGGTGTGTCGAGGAAGCGCCCGGGAGTCTGTCCCAGTGTCATTGTGCGCGGCGCTGGCAGGGAAGGCGTGCGACCCGGTGCAAAACTGAGCGGTGGGCTGGAGAGGGTGGGGACCGAAATGTGAGCGCAGCTCTAGGGCCTTGGGCGCCCCTTCTCCCTGCCAATGGACCCCTCCCCCCTTTCCTGGGAGTCGGTCTCCCACGCTGCCACAACCCACGCTGTCCTCCCCACCGGGACCCCGCACACCCTCCAGCCAGCCTGCCTTTCTCTCGGGGGACTTGGACCCAGTTCCCGGAAGGAGTCCCAGGCTGTCTGCTGGCGTCCACTCTCGCTCCTCGGCCCGGTGACTTCCGTGCCAGGCCTGCCCCCTGGGGTGACACGGGAGATTCGCAGGGACTAGAGTAAGGTCTCCCGGGTGGGCGGGCAAGTCCCAGGGGCACCACACGTCCCGCGGGGGAGGGGCAGCCTGACTGATCGAGTCTCTGGCTCTCCTCTGGATTCGCAGATCCCCGCTCCTGGCCCTTGCCTCGTGCGTCATTGATGGGCAACCAACTGGACCGCATCACCCACCTCAACTACAGCGAATTGCCCACGGGGGACCCCTCTGGGATCGAGAAGGACGAGCTACGGGTCGGGGTCGCCTACTTCTTCTCGGATGAGGAGGAGGACCTGGACGAGCGCGGCCAGCCGGACAAGTTTGGAGTGAAAGCGCCTCCGGGGTGCACGCCCTGCCCGGAGAGCCCCAGCCGCCACCACCACCACCTGCTGCACCAGCTGGTCCTGAACGAGACTCAGTTCTCCGCCTTTCGGGGCCAGGAATGCATCTTCTCCAAAGTGAGCGGCGGCCCCCAGGGCGCCGACCT